AGTAAACCAGCTAAGATTATATTGATTCTATTCATCATTTTACTGATTATAAAGAATTCATCATTTTACTTACTATCGTGCTCCTAATTAATGTACAATTGATGTTTTATTGAGTCTTGGCATCAATCTGAAGAAGACTAGCGCGTACGTCTGCTCAAAAGTAAGCTCAACGATGATTGCAATCAGGATCAACAGCCATCAAGCACGACTGCCCATTACTCCAATTCCTATCAACTTTGTTACACTCTCACCTTTGCAAATCAAACAGTAATACCAAGTTTTTCATTACATATCACACAAAAGGTGTATTATGTGGTCAATAATTTGTTTATCTGTCAATCAACTGATTAATTATTAGGCATAAATATTTCAGTTATTTACTTTTTGAGGTCAGTATTTGTGAAGCAGTTTTGAGTATGAGCAATTGATATGGTTAGACAAAGTGGCAGTAATTGCTTCGAATTGTTATTTCATTTGCTGCAAGTAACTAACGCACATTTTCTGCCTCATCAACTTCATCATTTATGCAAATTGAGCAAGCAAGTGACACTTCCAATTCAATCATTTTGGAAGTCTTTATCATCACAGTCAGTAACTTAGCTTCAATGCTTTATATAACTTTTTCATTTTTTTACATTAATTTTTTTAAGAGAATATCTCAAAAAAAAACAAAACAAGATTTTTCATTAACCTTAAAATGATATAAAGCAAAAAAGAATACTGTAAAATAAATAAAAAAAGTTAAAAGCTTCAATTTGTTGTAAAATATCTGTACTGCAAGTACAGTAGTCATTGCTATGTATTGACAATTTGTAGTGAAAGTATTTATTGATTACTCACAGAGTAGACAATATTTTCTTGAATGATTTGTTTAATATTTAATTTGTTAATATTTTTTATGCAAGAGCAATTATACATTGAAAAAAATGTGCCAGCAATGTTGCTAAAATTTTATACTGCAGGCAACAATCACGAATGTTACGGAATGTTGTCTTATCCACGTCATTCCATCCAACTCAAATTACCATTCGTTTAACCAATTTCGACAAAGATCTCTAAGAATTTATTAAAGAGGTTTTTTATGATTTAATATGATAAAAAATCACGCAAATCGATTACCATACCACTATAGCATGCATAGTTAAAACTAATTTTACATCCTCAATTTTTACAAATAAAACTAGTTGAGTGATCTGTATGATGCACAAATAAAACAGCAAAAAAGTATTGTAGTTTCAAGTATTTCTAAGATGTTACAATGTTGATAATTTACTCTCACTGAGAGGCGTATTCGACAAAGGTACGTATAATACGTACGTATGGTATAATTTAATAGCAGAATAAATTTTAGCAAGCAAAACGGACCTCCAACCATTTTGCATCAGAAAATGAAGTTACCTTTATTAAATTCAATGAACCAATGCTTCCATATTGCAATTGCATAGTAGGTCGCAAATTTGACTTATATGTAATAGTATACTTTCTATTTACATCTCAATTATTGTAAAATGATATTATTTCATACAAAACTGATTAATTTTAATGTTAACTTATTTTTTGTAAATTTATTTCCAAAAAAACACTAGAAATCAAAATTTGTTTTTTGCTTTTTGCCGAAACAGTGCATTTTATTTTAGCAAATTAACTCATTTTTGAATATTTTTGTCAATAAATAAAGAATTTACAAAAGTAATCAGTTCTTTAATCACTCCATTCGTTATTGGTCCGTTCACTTCTTTCAGCTAACTTTGCATTCTTTCAACTGCATAACTTTTTGTAAATGTTAAAGATATTATTGCCCATCAAAAGTTATGAAAAAAT